GATCTTTTTAAAAACAATAGCCATTTCTTTGCGCCCCCCCAAAATCGTTTATCTGGAGCCGCGGCGTGGCAAAGTGATAGCCAATGCGTTCGCGAAGGATGACCTTGTCAATGTCAGCTCATGTAAGGATTTCTTTAGAAATCACAGATCAATCGGGAGTCATCCTGCACTTGTTGCCAGAATGTACTTCCCTATGGGCAAACACAACGCCATCCCATTTGTCATTGCCGAGACGATCTTGCATTGACGGTGCCTGTTCCTCCGCAGACTGCCCCGCCCCGCTGAGCCAGTTGGGGAAAGTCTAAGCAATGTTAGGAGTGACGTCGTGGGTGCCAAAGGGGAGAAACCTCAACACAGCGTAATCAGGGTCGTAGTAGTAGTAGTAATTGGTAGTAGTCGTCGTCGAGGCCACCGTGGGCGTCATGGGGCGACCTTCGGGCGTCTGTGGTGTGGTCTGGTTGGTCTGGTTGGTTGGCCTGGCTGCCTCGTGCGTCTTGGAAGAAATATTTGGGCGTGTTTGGCTGGACTGGTTGGTCCCGTTGGTCTGGTTGGTTGACCTGGTTACCTCGCGCGTCTTGGGAAGATCCTTGAGCGTTTTCTTTACTGGTGTGGCAAATGTAGTTGGTCTGGTTGGTTGCCATTTCTGGCTCGTCTGGTTCGAACAAGTAACGGTTCCAGAAGAGGACGTCGCCATATTTGAAATAAGTATGTGGGGGTCCTCGGTGGCGTAACGATTGCGTCTTGGACCTGACTATACACCCTCAACCCTCTCTGGCGCCACGCCACATCCACCGACCAAGATACCCCCTATGTTGGGCCGCCAAGGCATACAAACAGCTAGCGATCATATGTGCTTGTGGCCTCTTGGCTCTCTTGAGGGTCCAAGGAGGCTCCAAGGCGACAGTGAGTCGACTCGAGAAGCCTCCAAAACGGATCAAGATGGCCCCAAGACGGCCCATGAGGCTCCGAAGACGTCCCAAGAGGCATCCACGTCCCAGGAAGGCCCCAAGATGTCCAACGCATGCGTTTCCCTTTGGTTTTCGAAGGATCTTAGTGCTGTCGCCTTTTCGGACCTCCGGCAATCCAAGATGGCCCGAAAGGCACCCGAGATGGCCTGAAGACGGCCCAAGATATTACCCAAGACGGCCCAAAGCGGGCAGTAAGATGGCCTTCGACGGCGCCAGACAGCGCAAGCGAGTCCCAAGACGGCCCAAGAGAGCAAGAGGCACCCACATACATATGCAATTTTCAGAGTCTCCCCCCAAACTCCAAAGACGTCTCAACAAACCCAGAAGAGGCAGGCCTCCAAAAGGCCCCCAGAAGACGCTAGGAAGCTCCACGCTACGCATTCCGAACGGGCACCCCGCGAAGCGCGAGGAATCCACGGCCAAACTGCGACGGACGAGCAGGTCAGAGGGCCGGTTTTTGGGCGTAGCCTCACCGCCAAAATATGTCATACGTAAACAAGAACCATGCGATGCTGTCGCTGCCCCCCCTAATCCTCCAAGGGGGGACACATCAGTCGATCTTGTTCAGACATTTGCCGACCTTTTTTGTCCCCTCCTTTTGCGCTTCACAACTGGCCTCAAGGAGATTCAAGACGGACCAACACGACCCCACAAACACCTGACGAGATCTCCAAGACGGGGCAAAACGCGTCCAAGATGGCGCCAAGACGGCTACCAAGACGGCCTTCAGTGGCCCCTGCGAGCCCTAAGAAGATCACGAGAAAAAGTCGTAGCATGTTTATGGTATATCCGCCTGTTCGCTCTTCACAACGTCCAAGAAGACCTGAAAGGCCTCCACTACCGCTCAAATGCGGCCCGGAAAGATCCCAGCAGGACCAAGTAAGCCTGAAGACGGCCCCAGAGGGCCTAAGAGAACTCCGAAGAGATCCAAGAGGGCCCCGAGAGAGGGTCCAGACCCCTAAGTCTGCCCAAGAGGGCTCCCATGCCGCCCAAGACAGCTCCAAGAGACTGTCGATACGGCAGAGAGGCCATCAAGACAGCCCAAGATACTATCAAGACGGTCCAAAGGGGGTCCCAAGAGAACCCGAAATAAACAACAAACGTTGATTAATATTGAGGTATGACTTTAGCACGCGCGCCTATTTGATCTTCAGAACATCAAGTCCAAAGAAGTTTCTCAATATCGTTCCGAGCAGGTCCAGAGAAGCTGCAGGGGACCCCAAAAAGGGCCAAGAAAGCCAAATCATGCCCCAAAACAGCCCAATATGGCCCCAACACGCTACAAGAAGGTTCCCGCAAAGGCTCCACACAGCCCAAATCCCGGCCCCGAGAGACCCCCGAGACGGCCCAGAAACGGACGGAGGGCTTGTCTGGCCGTGCTCCCCCGCGCAGCGGTGCGCATCATACTTGCCTGAGAACCCATGGGAGTTCAGCAGGTCGATCAGCCTCTTAGAGGCCTCCCAGATGAGGTCCCAGTAGATGGAGTCGGATGACCGCGCCGCATCGCCGATGCATCGGCGCTGTATCGGCGACGTCGGCGATGCATCGGCGCATCGGCGTGGAGAAATTCTGGCTCCACATCGAGCCGCATCGCCGATGCATCGGCGATGCGGCGCCATCCTCCGCCCCCATCTGCTCCGACCCCATCTTGAATGCCTAGACCTCTGGCGCGTGTAGCCGTAAGGCAAGTTTCGCATCATCACCGTGGTGGGCGCCTTGACTGCCTGCACATGCCGAGCTCTCAGAGCGTACCTGAACTTACCGCACGTGCCGATCGTCTCTTCGGGAGCGGCTGAGGGCACTCTGGGGACGTAGGCACGGGCCGCACGGCTCAGGGGCGTGCGCCGGCTCCCGATGCCCGTCCTCCCCGGGCAGTCCGCTGTAAGGCTCGCCTCCAGGGCACCCTCCGCTCTTCCGTCGGTGGGCAGCAGGCCTGGGGGCGGCCTTGGACCCTGGCTCTGCCAACGGTGCAGCGCTGGGCGCGGAACTTCGTGGCATGCAGGGCCCGAACGACTGTCATCGTCGTGCAGACACGGAAGCATGTTGAGCTCGCCGCAGCTCAGAGCGGTCGGTGACATGGGCGGAACTTCTCCCACGGGGCGAGCTGTGTCGCACCCTGGAGTCAGGTCGACCTGCTCTACGCTGGCCATGGCGGCGCTTCGAGGTACTGACTGGTGTAGACGTCTTGCAAGTGTTGTGTATGTCTAGATGCGAGCGTGTGTCCGCACTGATGGCTTCTCAGACAGCCTCGCGCAGTCAACAACAAAGTCTTGACCACATCGGCTCGGACGAAGATGAAGCAGAGGACGCGCAGGAGGGGGAAGAGGACGGGGAGTGGGAGGAGGTCGAAGGTCAAGGCGCTCGGGGTGAGGTGCGGCCGATTTGAATACATTATCCTCCTCTCTGCGATGCTATTTGGATGCAAGGCCTCGCCGCGTGACATAAGAGATACAGTGGGGGGCACGCCCACAAGAAGCTGTCGCAAGAAAGCCAACCCTGAAAATTAACTACGTTCCTTGCCCAAGGTCTGGGTTTCTTGGCCAGGGGCTTCAAGCGGAGAAACCCAGGGGACCCTGGCCCGAAGATTTTTGTTCGCAAGCCGCGCTAGGAAAAAAACGCCAACAATGCTGTGGAAGAAACCCATGTCTGCCCGGGAAAAATGGGACGCCAAGGCGTTTCGCAAGGACCCATCGCATCTTCTCATGTCGCTGCTGCCGCCAGAATGGATGGGTTACCGCTCCGCGCGGACGCATCGGCGCAAGGGGGTTTCTTTGGTGACGGGGCATTCCTACAATTTCGCTGTTGGCCCTCCAAATCCGCGCGGATGCAAGAGATTCAAGGTACCTTCGGCGCAGCGGGGTTTCTTCGGTGGCGGGCCATTCCAGCAATTTCGCTGTTGGCCCTCCGAATCCGCGCGGATGCAAGAGATTCAGGGCACCTTCGGCGCAACGGGGTTTCTTCGGTGGCGGGCCATTCCAACAATTTCGCCGTTGGCCCTCCGGATCCGCGCGGATGCAAGGAATTCAAGGTACCTTCGGCGCAGTGGGGTTTCTTCGGTAGCGGCTCATTCCAACAATTTCGCTGCTGGCCCTCCGAATCCGCGCGGGTGCAAGAAATTCAGGGCACCTTCGGCGCAACGGGGTTTCTTCGGTGGCGGGGCATGGCTTCCGCAAGGTGCAGTTGCGAAGAAACTCAGGACTTCCTGAACGCACAAATTTCTTGACGCCCGCAGGAAACAATCGCGAAACGCGCGGAGCAAAGAAACCCAAGATGCCCTGAGGAAAAGCAACGCATCTGGTTTCTTGGTACGCGCCCCCACTGTAATGCCTTGCGGCCTCCGTGCTGCATCTACATCTAGTGCCGTGGAAATGCGTGTGGTCAGGGATCTTCTGACCTGGGTCAATCCAGACCCGCGTCAATCAGGCCTTGCAGAATCCTGCAAGATCCTGCGCCCAAACCCGGGTCAACGCGAAGGATCCTGCAAGATCCTGCAGGGTCCTGCACCCAAGCCTGGGTCAATGCGATCCTGTCCCTGCAGGATCCTGCACGATCCAGCGCTCTGGCTGACCCCCGTCTCGAGGCTCCCGAAACGCGCGCGGACTGATCCCACCCACTCGGCGGCGACGCCTCGTGGCCGACCTCCTCGACCTGTGCCCCTCGATCCCCCTTCCGCTCGGCCATGCACGTGAAAGAATCACCCCGGCAAGAAATGACCTTTGGCGCGCGGCTTGCGATCGTCTCGCGCGATGCGACAACGGCGGCCTGCGAGCTTAGGTCGGGGCTCCCCCCCGAAAACCGCGCGCCAAAAGCCACCCCAACAAACGTCACTATTCCGACTCATTTTCGGGTCATAGCTCGGGTCTCCAGCAGCCGTTGAGAAAGATACGGGCGCACCCGAAACGCTCCCGGAGAGGCGCAGCTGCTGGTATGCATCACGGGGCAGGCAAATTTCCTGCAGGAGCCACCGAAAACGTCCGAAAGCTCTTCCCGAAGCGTGCAGCCGACTCCCTCGAGTCCCCAGGCCAGGCCTCCTCAGCCCAGGCGCAGCACGTCTGGACCCTCGATGCCCCTCCACTTCTGCTCCTCGGCCTCGCGGGCGGGAAAGCGCGGGGCGCGCGAAAAGGCCAGCAGGAGCGCCAGAGCGCCCTCTTCCCTCCGCTTCTGCATCTTCTTCCTCGTCCTTTTCACCTCGCACATCATTGGTAACCGGATGCCTGACTACTGTTGCTCGCTCCTCCCCCCTCCTCCTCCTCCTCCTCCTCCTCTTCCTCCTCCTCCTCCTCCTCCTCCATTTCCTCCTCCTCCTCCTCCTCCATTTCCTCCTCCTCCTCCTCGTTCATTTCCTCCTCCTCCTCCTCCTCCATTTCCTCCTCCGCCTCCTCCTGGCGCCAGAGAAAAGGAGAGGGCCCGAGGCAGGCCAGCAGGCAACAACAGAGGGAAAGGCGGTGCAGGCCCTGCGTCCGTCTCCTCTCCCTCCCTCGCCTCCGCCTCCCCCTCTCCTGTTTCCTCTGTCCCTTTTCCTTGTAAATGCGTGGCCCCCCGTAGTCGTGGACAAGGGTGAACAGGGCGGCGGGGACGTCGGCAGTCTGCGAAGCTCTGAAGAAGCCCGCCGCAGGCGCCAGCATCTTACTACAAATGATACAACAATCCCGTCGCAGGCGTCGGTTTCTCGGGCAGAGCACTACGCAGTTTTGTTCGTTGCGCGGCCCGCGCGGCCCGCGGGGGGGGGGGGGGGCGGGTGGGGCGGTTGGGTAAGAGGTTGGAAGAGAGGGGCGCGCTCAAGTCCTCGTGTACTTCGTGTTTTGGGTCTTGGTTCCCTTCATGCTTTTCTCCAAGCGGTGGGGGGAGGGTAAGCATACCCCCGCGCACGACGCGCGGCGCAGGGGCGCGCAACGGCAAAACGCACGGCCTGATTGCTCCGCGCGCGCGTCGGCTTGCCGCGGTAGCGGCGTTCTCCTTTCGCGGCCAAGAGTGCCAAACGCGGCCTAGGTTGCCTAACGCGGCCTAAAGTGCCAAACGCGGCCAAGAGTGCCAAACAGGGCTAAGAGTGCCAAACGCGGCCTAGTGTGCCAAACGCGGCCAAGAGTGCCTGACGTGGCCAAGAGTGCCTAACGCGCCCTAAAGTGTCAAACGCGGCCAAGGGTGCCAGACGCGGCCCAGAGTGCCAAACGCGGCCCACAGTGCCAAAACGCTGCCAAGAGTGCCAAGCGCGGCCTAAAGTGCCGAACGCGGCCAGGAGCGCCGAACGCGGCTTAACGTGCCAAGCACGGCCAAGAGTGCCAAACGCGGCCGAAAGTGCCTCACGCGGCCAAACATACCAAACGCGGCCAAGAGTGCCAAACGCGGCCTCAAGTGCCAAACGCGGCCAAGAGTGCCAAACGCGGCCAAGAGTGCCAAACGCGACCAAGGGTGCCAAACGCGGCCCAAAGTGCCTAACGCGGCTAAGAGTGCCTTGCGCGGCGAAGAGCGCCCAGCGCGGCCAAGAGTGCCTACGCGGCCAAGCGTGCTAAACGCAGTGAAACGTGCATAACGCGGCCAAGAGTGCCAAACGTAGCCATGGGCGCCAACACGCGGCCAAGAGTGCCTACATTGGCCAAGTGTGCCAAACGCGCGACCGTGTGAGGCGACCGCGTATAATTCGACACTCTTAGATTGTGTCAAGCGACAGTGTGTCGACCGTTCGGTGTCTTCGTGACCCTGTCCAAACTAGGCGATCGCGGCTACGACTCCGCCCAATGCGAATGTGTCGTCGGACTCAAGCGCGCGGCAGCGCGCGGCGCAAGCGCAGGCAGTTCCGCGGGCAGAAGTCGCGGAGGGGGCGCGCCGCTGCGGCAAGCGCGGCGCGCGGCACGCGGCAAGATGGCCGCTGAGACGCCCAACCTGGGCATGTCTTTGCTTGACCTTCTGGCATTTCATGACGATGCCAAACGCGGCGGAGAGTGGATTGCGAATTGCGCGCGCGCTTGCCAGGCGACGCGCCCGCCCGGGGGTGCGGCGATGGCGCGCCTGCTTGTTTGCAGAGGAGAGCGAGCTGACGTCCGCGCGCGATTTGGATTTCGCAGCCGCGGAGTCGCTGACGGGCGATCAGACTACAGGCAAGCGGTCCTTCCTTGCCAGGGTAATCTCCGACGCGAAGACCTTGCTTGAGGAGCAGCGGCGCGCGTCGGGCTCGGCCTCCGCTGCCGGCGCGCCCCGCGGCGGGGCTGCAGCCGAACCTCGGTCTCACGTCGACCTACAGGGAACGTTGAAGAGCGGTCCCCAAGGACTTAAGTCAGCCTTTCTGGCCGCGTTCCGCGGCGGTGGACGCATTAGACAATGCGGTGAAGAAGCTGCTGCGCCGCGGCGTCAAGCGGCCGTTTGGTTTATTCAGAATTAAAGAAATTATTGCCGATGTGGGCAGAGGTGAATGGCGTGAGGGATGCAACAGAGGACGAGGGCGCCGTCAGCTCGGTCAAATCCAGATCGCTGACCTTCTCGCAATGGCATTCGTTCAGCGTTCGAGATGTGCGCGACAACTTGCTTGCGCCGCGTGCGCAACTAAGCGCGACTTTCGCCTGCGCGCAGGTGCGCCATAGCCTGCGTCTGCACCGGTCAGATGTCGTTGGCCGCGACGGTCAGCCACCGTCAGATTGTCCTTAAGGCTCGCGATTCGCCACGCGCAAAGGGGGTCGCGCGACGCGTGTGTTCTGCGCGCGGCCCGCGCCAGGTGGCCGCGCGGGCGGCGCGGGCCAATCGGGGCGGCCAGCTGGCGCTCGGATATGATGAGCTCTGCCGGCGCAACTGGGCTGAGAGGTCTATTGCGGGCGATGAATCGTTCAACATTGAGGCGGCCGTCACTGCGGTGGATAGGACTTTGCTCCAGACAGCGGAAGCTGACCACGACGGAGATGCGAAGGAGTGCGCGGCATTCCGCGGGGGCAAAGGCGGCAAAGGTGGCGCCGAAGGCGGCAGGGGCAACGGCAAGAGCGCAAAGTGCGCCAGCAAGGGCAAGGCCTGTGCCGCGCCAGGGGGCGATCGCGGTGACTACGAAGAGCTGCGGGCTAAGAGGGCCAGATATCAGGAACGCTGACTTGACGCGCGGCGCCCGGCAGGCGCCGCGCGCTCCGCGCGCGTGCGACGTCGGTCCCAGTCCATTTAGCAGGCGTTGCTCAGAGCCCAGAGGTGGCATTTCAAAACCACGGGAGCGAGGCTGTCGAGCTAATCGCAAGTTTCCCTGCGGAGCTGGAGGACCCCCGTGCGGCGCGTCCAAACGATCGTCGCGCGCGCCGGAGTTTCTAAAGGAGTCAATTCGGCGGGGGTGCGCGCTGCGCCGCCTACGCCGGCAGCGTCGCCGGGAAGTCGCGCCCGCGCGGGCCCGCCCGCGACGGGCATGACTCGCGAACATTTGACAGGCGACGCCGCGGTCAAGCCGCGGCTCGAAGCGCCGCGGCTCGTCGCGCGGCAGGCAAGCTCGCCGCGGGTGACGAGAAGGAGATTGAATTTCCTATCAATACACTCAAACATAGTTTTCCGACCGCGACTTCCCGGGGCATCGGGGGGGATGTGCGGAGCGCCATTGAATGGGAAGCGTCCGATGCGCTGAAGTAGTGCGCCACCGAGACAACATGTTGTCGCGCCTGGAAGACTGGGGCCAAGCGCTCCGCCGGGACGGATTTGTGCAGCGCTGGTTCGATGGCGCGGACGAAGCGACGAGAGCCATCTCCGACGGCGTCAACGGGCCGCTTTTGGCCGAGTTGCTCGACGTAACGAGCTACGGCGACCCGGGCGCGGCTGACTTGTTTCGCAACAGCGCCCCTCTCCTCGGCAAGTTGCCCCACGCGGGGAGCGGCCCCGCAGGGGCTTTCCCCGAGCCCATCTCCGCCGAGACTTCGCGGGCCTCGTCCGCAGCGCACAGCTGAGAGATTGCTCCGTCTCGATGCGAACTCCTCGGCGCTACGCGATGGCGCGCTTGCCGACGCAGCCATGTCGCGGATGACGTCTCCGGCTCTCGTAGCCGATGCAGACCTCAGCAAGGTGTGCCTCTCGCCGCGGTTTCGCCAAAAATTCGCGCTGTGGGCGACGGGCCCGGGGGCGGCGTCAACGCGGCGCGCCGGCCTGCGGAGCGACTGCAAATCGACGGCGCAGACGTACTCGTCGACGCGATACGCTTCTTTCGCGATCGGCATGGATGCGCGCCGGCTCTGTTCAAGGCGGGCATAGATTCCGCCTATCGTCGAATCCCCATTGCTCCTGAGCGCAGGTGGGCCGCGCACAGCACCAACGTGCATGGCGGGAACACTTGGGCCGCGGGTCGTTGAGCGATGACGTTTGGATCGCTAGCCGTGGAATTCGGCTGGGGCCGCGTGGGCGCGGCCCTGGCACATCTAGCCCGAAAACTTCTACGAATCGCTACCCTCCGATACGTGGACGACTTCTTTGGCCCGTGCGCGCCTGAAGCAAAGGTGCACACCATGGCCTCTCTGGTCAGACTCGTGCGTGCGTTGCTGGGCCCGAGTGCAATATCCGACAGGAAGTTGGAGTGTGGCGACTGCGGCGACGCGCTGGAGATCTTAGGCTTGCACTGACTGGTATCCACCTCTTCCCGGCGCCGAAGAAGGTGCGCAAATGGGCGCTGTTGATCAGGCAGGCGCTCGACGCCGAGAAGTTATGCGCCGGCCAGGCCAGCAAGGTGGCTGGCGCCCTCAGCTGGGCAGGGCAACGCTGCTTCAAAAGGCTAGGGCGTGCGATGCTCCAACCTCTGTTCTCGCAACAGCATTCGCGGCGTGGCGAGGTCCGAGGACCGCTGGCTCTCGCGCTGCCCAGGTGGGCGGGCGCGCTGGACCTCGGAGCGCGCCGGGCCAAGCCGCGGTTGCCGCCAGAACGGCAAGAGGCGCACCTTTTTGCAGACGCCCGTGGAGGGTCCGAGCCGAGGCTGGCCGACGTTTTATCCATCGACGGCCTCGCATTTTGGACTGACGCCCCGCCGGGCGATGGCTTGCTGGCGGATCTGGTGCCGCGAAGCGACTCCCCGATCATGGCGCTCGAAGCCCCGGAGAGGCCCCCGAGAAACCTTCGCGAGTCCTCGGCGTTCCTGGCGGCCCATGGGAGAG